GTGGGTGTGGGTGTGGGTATGTCTGTAATGTTCTCTTTCTCCGTTGCTATGTGTCTGTAATGGGGTGGGGGGGGGACCGGAAGGGGGCCCGCCAGCCTCGAACTGAAAACTTACACTCACTATTTTCTTCGAAAACATACTTGAGTTCCACAAAATTACGAGATCTAGTTTTGCGGACTTTTTTTTCAATCATGATTTACCTAATCGTAACAGATCGATTCGATGAATCTGGATATTGTTCTCATGGCAATTCAATTCAACTTGTTTTAGGCAATATTGACTCTCAGATAAAGAGAATATTATTGATTTTAGTCGGGATTATTTTTGTCCTTCAACATGTGTTTTTGATTCTTATTGTGCTTTTTTTATGCTGTTACGAAATCACTTTTTGCTATCCGATACTCAATGGCTTTTTACGGTTACCTAACTTCAACCTCGAATCATTTTGCACTATATAAAATGCTGCCAATGCGAAAATGAGACCAGTACTTTATAGTTGATATTATGATCATGTCGTTTTCATCAGTGATAATTCTCATTTGCTCAATTGCTGGTACGTTCGCAGCAAATGAATGTCCGAAGATTGTCACGCAAAAGAATTTTGACATTAACAAGGTGAGTTTATTTTTACAGCATATTGTATCAATCTTTTTCTAGAATGAAAAAGAATATTTTACGCTATTTAGTATTTTGGTTTTTGGTATGAAGCATATCGAAATGAAAATTTGTTCGAAATTGGCTACACTTGTTCTAATGCAACATACACAAAAAATGATGATGGATCAGTAGGTGTATGGAATCAAGCTCACAATGCTGTTGGCACATATGAGAGTATTAAGGGCACTGCTAGAGTTAAAAATGCCTCAGAACCTGCAGCTTTCGAGCTTGACTTTCCCAAACCCAGTAAGCATCATACCTTCTTTCTTAATTCAATATTACGATTGTTTGAACAGTTCCAAAAGGTGACTACAATGTTATTATTTCAAATTATATCGATTATTCGCTCGTGTACTCTTGTAATATTATACCATTTTTCAATGTTAAATATGAATTAATTTGGATTCTATCGTAAGTGAAAATCTTGTGCTGATTGAACATTACGTACATTTTGCTTATATTTCTTTAAGACGAGCGAAAACAATAACACCATCGATATTCAATGAGCTAAAAACAATTCTAGTAAACATGGGTGCTGATGTGTCAAGTCTCCAACCAACATTACAGAATTGCTAAAATCGATCTTGTGCTGCTTTTATTATAACATGAACAGATTGACATTGATAGAATGAAAAAATACGTGTTTCTATTTATATTCCTTTCTCTATAAACTAAATTATGTGTTTGAGTTATAATCGAAATTTCTTACTTTTGCGGCTTCCGATATATGAATAATTTTTAAGACCGGTTAATAGAGTGAATTCTCATAAGAGGAGTGCAATTATTACATCACATGTACCAGTATCTCTATAAGAGCGTGGGTGTGCCAAGGGTGCGT